TAATAGTGCCGTCAGGTTGTGTGACCATGAGGAGATTGACACCACACGATAACTGCCCGAATAGGCCGCTCGCGCATGGCCCAATAATGAGAGACAAAGCGAACAAAGGCCGCTAGTCCTTAAATACGATACCGCGGACAGAAGACGGGACGTGCTGCAGACTAGGACGTACACGCAAACGACTTTCTGGTCACGGAGAGGAGTTGCTGGACACACAGATGACTGCTTGCACACGGAACAACTTGACGGGCAGGCGAACAAGTTGAGACACACGCAGGGAAGCTAATGTACACAAAGAGAATGTTGTTGTTCTCTGCCATACTGTCTGTCATCTATTTCACACAAAACAACTGGGGGACATAACAGTAAAGTATGCGCGTGTTGCAGAATAGGTTCGTATGTGGCCCAGGTACAATGAAATAGAGATGGTAATGAGGTTCGGCTGTGTTGTTTTATGAAAAATGCCATGCATACACAGAGTACTGCGTAGACCCATGTGATGGCCTAAATCAGTACGGGTCAGCGATACGGCAATGGTAGTTGCATGTTTGGGCACCTGAAAGTAGATGCGCAAGTGGCCGATCAGGCCGTTGCGTAATTCGAATATACGGTGGTAATAGTGATAAGTTAGGAATATGTCTGCGAAGGTGATGTTGGTAGTAATCGCCGGCACTGCGCTCATCCCACCTCAGACGACCGATCAGCTAGGCGGTGGTCTGTTGCTGGCGGTGAGGAAGAAAGTGGGGTTGGCCCTCAGTGCATTTCTTTCCTCACTATAGGTCATCTGACGCGCTTGAAGCTATCACGGTGCGCTAAAAGCTGTGGCTTGAAGGGTTGCCAACTGACGGGATAAATCGGACACCACATTCTGCCCACAGTGTGTCTTGCTGTGTGGACTGACTTCCTGTGGGCTGACAGTCAGGCTTAATGGCTCTTACTTAATTTAGTCTTTATGGCGCTCCCAGACGGGAGCCTACCTAGCAAGGTGGTGTTGGTGTAGTACGTGTTGGTGTGTTTCGCGCACTCCGCCTGCGCCCTCCCTCATCTCCGTTCTTCTCGAATTTGTGCTGACATCGGGTTCAGGTATGAGAGTAATGAGAGAGTTGAGTGGAGTCTCCACAAATCTACTTTAACTATAATCCCACGGGAGTCACCGCGCCGCTTCAGCTTGCTGAAGTTCGTGGTGAACATCGTCGAGGGCGACGGTCAAACTGTCGGTAGTAGTCGCAGTGGATTTCTGGTGTGGGATATGGATGGTTTGGGTGGCCCTGTGATGGATCCCACTGTTTTCTATACGTATGTTTTAGAAAATGCCCATGCGGGATCTACTGATTCTGGTGCCGCGTTGACGAACGGCCACCGACCGCCAATGGAACTCACTCGTCCCGCTTCGCCTTTGCCTTTGCCTTAGGCCTCATTTCTCGGACGAGTTCGAGGCTCGGGTGAAAAACGGCAGAAATTGCCCTCATACAGCTAGACAGTTCTCATGGATAAAAATCGACCTCGAATGATCCGTTAGCCGGCACAAAAAATTACCCACCAAACAGCATTGCACAGCGACCTACTATGCATCTTTTACTGCCTTCATAGTCAAAGTGCCCTAAGCACTACTCAGACGCTGCAGAGATGAGAGGTCGGAAATCAATGCAAGCCCTGATGTGCTCCGGACCTCAAACATGCATTTTCTCTGAATAGCGTAAATTCAGGTCCACACTCCTAGTTGAGATCGAAGGGACATCAGCGCAGTGTTGAGTTAAATCAGCGTCACCTCTGGCTAATATTAGTGTCAGTACCATTATCATTCAGTCGCATCGCTATTAAGTAGTAGTAGT